ATAAAAAATTTGGCTGGATTTGGGGGAACATCGAATAGTATCAGACACAAATAAGATAACATGAAGCAGGTTCCTGTGCAGTCGAACATTGTACAGAATGTTGCAAGATTACGATATTCTTCAAAATGCAACCTCCGGTGTAGTATGCAGACACAGTGTTTTACCACAGTGATATCAAAATAATGAAGGTCTGTTTTAGAAACTGTGACCCTGTGCTCAATCTGAAGAGAGGTGTACGTGTCTGGGAGTTAAAGGAACGTTTAACGGATTGCACTTGTCGTAATCGGTCACCATGTGCAACTGTTAGGCATCAATCATCAGAGAGTATGCCTGGATGGTGGGCATTCGAAATCCAAAAAGCAGTGAAGAGATCTGTTCAAGGTTTGTGCTTGCAGTGTTTTTCAAAATTCACGATCTGTTTGAGTGGTCCTTGATCTCACAAAATTTGATCACTGTTTCATGTTACTTTCAGCGTCATTGCGTGTAAGTTCCGGAAAGCGCAATTGTCCTACCGGATTGTCAATCATTAGTGCTGCTGATGCGCTTCATGAATCTGCTGCACCGCTAAATACAGATGACGACTCAGATGCGCCTTCGCTTTCCAAGAGAGGAAAAAATGATGACGCAAGCGTTGGTGCTGTTTTCTGTCAGAAAAGCAATGAACTGGAATCAGAAACTGCTGGTTGTAACTCGTCCAAATCAGTTGAGATGAAGCAGCGCTCTGCTGGAGAAATTGAGACTAATGCAGATCCAGAAGTAGCTGAATGTTTATGTGAAATGTTACGGTCTGTTAAAAAGTAACTGCAGGCTTCAAGGATATGCTGCGCAGTGAATCATCTGTGATTTGTTGACTCGGTGAGAGGAGTGTGCTTTCCATTACTCATAGTGATATGTTTTGATAAGCTAATTTTCTTCAAAAGTCATTTTGTTTGTGCATCTCCGAAGCTTAGTTCTATGCTTCGTAATGCTGTATGGTAGTGTGCACGTGGCTTTTTGAAACTTTTGTTATATTTATGATCTTTGCGATTTTTTTTTTGTATGCTGCGTAGAGCAAAAAGAACTATCGGAAGACCATTAAGCCATCTGTAAGGATGCCTGAACATCCAAATACAAGAGTACTGGAGCACAAGCTGGCGAATCTGTGTCGTAAGAGGTGGTATTAATAAAAATTATTGCATATATTAAATACTTGTGCTATGACTTTCCATATTTTGTTCAGTGATGTGTCGCAGGTGCCAATTAGTGCTTTCAAAGTTATATAAATTGCTTTACACGCAGCTTTGTAACTTACAGTTGAGAGGGTTGTTGCGTGGTTGCACTTTCCGCATGTCAAATTGCAAATTAGTGAATGTTTTTAATAGCAACCCTCATCGGGCAGAATTGCACAAAACGGATGATATTATCGGCTACTCTGGTGCGTAGCGCTATTTATTGGTGATTCTTCTATGCATTATTTCACATCATGACGAGCCTCAGTGGTCAAAGAAGTAAATGGTAATAATAGCATAATCCCGGAAACAATCTGCGTTTCGAGTCGGTGTTGTGAATGGGCAGCGGATAAATACTTTACACCACAGTGGGGTTTTTTGGACAGTCTGGTAAGCTGGAGGTTGAATTCGTTGCATTTTCCGCTTTGGGGTTGTGTGAACTTAATCGCGTATAAGAGGTTGCAAGTTATAGGTCGAATTTCGGAAATGATTTCAAATTGCCTACATTGCAACTTAAGATCTCATGTGATTGCTGGATTCTCGCATACTTTTGGAGTCGCTGTAACAAGTATGGGTAATGCTATTCTGGAAACTGAACAGTTCTTACCAGCGGAATTGATCTTTTGTTTCTCACGAGTGAACAAGTTTATCCGTTGAAGGCTGACAAACACGGAAATGATTGGACAAATTCACTGCTTCCCGAATTACTGGAATAATTAGGCTTAAATACAGAAGTGAGGGGAGATCAGCAAAACTTAAAAAGTATGCGAGGATCCGGCAACCACACGGGGGTAAGGGTTTGGTAAAAGTAGAGCACTGCAGGTCACGGCAGAACTGACGAAACCAAATGATATTCGGTATACTAGGAATGGTGGAGCACTACCACAATCGCTTGAGGGAAGACGGCATTCCTTATGTAAAATATACTGTTCTTAATATAAAATTATATAATATTTTTTTTTCTCTTTTCCCCTATGAATCGTAATGCAATTTGCGTTTTTTCGTGTTTACAGTTTTCTACATTCTCGTCCTTTTTTTTTTACACGCTTAAGAACCTAATTCTACACTCGTCCCCTTTGTCCCATTTTGCTCCTGTTTTCGAATGCGTTTGCATTCCCAGCCATTTTACTTTCTTATTTTTCTTTTCATCCCCTTTTTTCAACCCCCTTAAAAACCCTCATTTCCATTTTCCTATTCACATTTCACT